TCTCATCAAGCTTAAGATCCATGAGTGATTGTAGATGAACTTTGTAATCTTCTTTGCCCTAAAAAGAGCACTCTTGTGCTGAGGTAAGTCACCAAGATCCTCCAGAATGAGATCGATACAATGTGCTGCGCAAGGGGTCCAATATAAGTATGTCCTCTTCTCTATCAACATCTGACCAGCTGCTTTGTATGCACTGGCATTATCAGTCACTACCTGGACAACCAATTGCTCCCAATCTCCTCAATAACCCCATCAAGTAAATTGAAAATGAATGTAGCATTTTTCACCTCATATGAAGCTTCAACTGATCGTAAAAACACCGTGCCGTTGGGATTGTTGACAAGGATGTTAATCAAGCTCCTGCTCTTCATGTCAGACCATCCATCTGACATAATGGTAACACGAGTCTCAATTTATGTCCTTTTAATCTCATCAATGTTTCGCTCTGTGTTCTGCAGCTCCTTTAAAATTCATGTTCGCAACTCATACATGGAAGGTGCCTTCAACCCTCTCCCATACAACCCTACAGACCGCAGCATATTAAAGTAGGCAGGCGACGTAGCAACATTAAATGGTATGGCATTCTAAAAAAAAAAACCTCCCAATGTCCATGCAAACCTGTCGCCGACCCTCTCTGGTACCAGCTGCAGGCATCATCTCTGCTTGTCCTCTATCCTCTCATGGATTAGTCATATACTGATCCATAAGACCCCGTGCACCTCTATTATGTATAGTGGAGGAAGACCCCTTTTCCACTCTCGCTCCCAAAATAAGCACCATGTTCGACCCTGTCATCAAATTGCTTCTGTTGTAAGTGTTTTGCCGTGGTAGTTATCTTCATGTAAGCAATTATTTCTTCCTTCACATTGTCCGGCACTTTTACACACGGTGCTACGTTCTTATGAGAGCATGATAAGTGCTCCTTCATGCGGGTTACTCCGCCCTTCACCAGTTTCTCACAAAAATTACATTTTAAATAGACATACATCTTCTCGCCCCCTCCTACGTCAACTTGCATGCTATATTTCCAAGAAGGGTCATGCCGCAATGACGTATTCGTCTTTTCTTTACCTCTAACCATGTCTCCTAAAGCAAAAATCCAAAAACATAAAAAAACAATCAAAAAAATATAAATCCTAGATTTTTTTACGCTTGAAAAATCTAACCCTAAAAAAATACCAAAAATTCAATGTGGAGTACTCCTAGAGGGCGGCCGGAAGTTTCAACTTCGCCGGAGAGAGTCGGCGCAGGTGGGAGAAGCAGCGGGAAGGGAAGCCGGCAGGTAAGGACCGTGCGAGAGCTCTCTGTTTCGCGAATTGGAGCTGTGCGTGTAGGAAAAATTCTGGAGCTGCTGCCGTGCGGGTTTAAGGAGAAAAAAACATTCATTTTAAGTGGGTGGGCCCATTCCCATGAGGGGTACGCCTCACTAAGAATTGCGCAATTGCGCCTCTGAGGCGCGCCTCAATCCATGTGAGGCGTACGCCTCTGCCAGGGGTGGAATTGCGTAAACTTTGAGGCAGTTTTGGGACGAATTGCGTAGAGGCGCGCCTCTTATTGCGCAATTTTAAACATAGGTCATATCAAGTTACACCTCTTTTGTATTTTGGGATTGCTTATTGATATCATTCCCGGGAAAAGAATGATTTGAATTGATTCAACTGTAGCAAAAATTATGGATGAGACGTAGGATTTTGTGATGGGAGTTTGTTGGGAGCTTGCTAATGGGAGTGGGTAGGACCAATGTTTAAAATTGCGTATTCGGGTATTAAGACGTTTTTCATTCATGAGGCGAGGCGTAAGCCTCAAGGCGTTTTGAGGCGTAAGCCTCAAAATCAAAAGATTGCGTAAACATAAAATGATAATTTTTTTATATACTAATGAGTGAATAATATAAAACATAAAAAAGCATAAGGTATGAAGTGAAATCAAAATATCTCAATAATAAGACAGCATGAAAGATAGTTCAACTCAAAATTCTATCTTTCCCAAATCCTAGTATTTTTTCATTAACATATATTCTAATTTCCAAAAATAAATAACAATGACATATCACATAGGAACTCATAAGTCATCAGCACTGTAATCACTAAGGGGTTCTTCATTTGAATCATCATTCTGTTGAACTGTTCTCTCCTCTTCCTCCTCTCCTATAGAGTCCAATGTCGGACATTTACTTCAAGATTTATGTAAGTTTTAATATATATAGCGTGAGGCGAGGCGGGCTTCAAGGCAGGCCTCAACCAAGTTGAGGTGCAAGCCTCATAGAAAAAACTCGAGGCATAAGCATTGATGCGTTTTTTACTGGAATTGCGCAAAGGCGGGCCTCAAGCCGAGCCTCATATTGCGCAATTTTAAACCATGGGTAGAACTAGCGCGTTGACAGAAAGGATTTTATAATTAGAGGACTTACCAATGGGACCAACAACATTTGAGATAAGAATATTTCGTGATGAGAACTTGCTAGGGAAACACTAATAAGATTGATGGTGTAGAGAGTTTTCTTGTGCATAATATAGCAGGATAGTGCATGTAAAGGTTTGAATAAGGCTCGATCTTGATCGAAACTTGTTTGACCAAAGATCAAATCAATTTTCTTTGCGACAAACATTAATAAGCATTATATATATATATATATATATATCTTTAATTTTGAGCATGATACATGTGTTATAAAGTAAATACAAGATTTCTTTTAGGTCTATTTTATACTCAATAGCTCTATTTTTTGTTTATCAAATTCACAGGTTTTCAAAGTGATTGTATGTTTCAAAGGATACCACATCCTTAATTCTCGATTCTTCAGCCCTTTCAAATCACCTCCTGGATCGGGACATTGTTAGTGTTCTTACATCAGCACAATCATTGTCTTCTTCCTCTCCATAGAATCATTAGGGCTTCTTGAGCTATTCTACTCTTTGATTTCAACCCCAGCAGAGCACAATCTCCTCACCCTTACTATGCTCTAACATATTCCCCCTTTTTAAAGCTTTAATAAATGTCGTACGGAATTTTCCCACTAAAACTTTTGTTCGATTTTAGTTTTCAGTCATTTACTGTTAAATTTTATTTTTTTCATATTCCTCCTTTCATTAATTTTTTTCAAGTTTAATATGAAAAAATATCTTTCTTTATTAATTTTGGTAGGATTGTTCTTTAATTACTGCTATTTAAATTATATATTTTATGATTTTATGTCAGTTCAAGTACTTTTTGATGTGCAATGGCTGATTTAAAAATCTTCATTGAAAATTTAAATTTTTTTCTTGTATGTCACGTCTATTATAGTTTATGTTGATAAACTCGTTTTTGGCTTATATATATGCTTATTTAACTGTTAAATACAAGTTACTTTTCTATAAGGTTTTGTTGATTAATTAGGTAAAAGAATAGCTAATAATCAATTTATATGTATGAAAAATAAAGGTCATATTAATTTGAGAAATTTATCAAATGATAGGAGCTAAGTCAATGATTATTGATTGATTAATTAATAATTTTTTAAATCATTCTACAACTCTGATTACTTGATGAGTTATCCACTAAGCAGACCACATTTGGGTTTTGTGCCTCGTAATTTTATCATTAATTAAGACTAAATAATTAAAATGAGATCATTTAGTTAGATAACATTATGCTAAAATATTCTTAATAACTAATTATGTATAATTTATCATTAGGATTTGAAACAAACCATATGTTAAGATTAACTAAATAGAGAAATTATTAGGATTTTTTTTTTTTTGTGAGCTCGGGGGATTCGAGCTATATTTTTTTTGTTTGTTAGTTATAAATGAAAGTCCAGTTTTTGTTGGATGAGAGTTTTTGCTAATCTATCAATTATTCTAGTTTGCCAAGTAGTGAAGGTGATAGATACATGACAGGCTTTGATCACCACATTAATGGAGGTTGCCAGGACTGAAGGTGATGAACTGATAGCAGACTATGTTAACTGCCTCATGTCATTGGATGCTAACTCCCGTCCAGTTGAGAATATCAACCCATCATCGCTTTCAGTCTCTGCTGCGGCCCAGATACAAACAAATATTCCTTCAGTGCTGCATGAACAGTCAGCACCAAAAGTTTTTGTTCAGGCTGGTGTGGAAGAGACAGAGCTTGAACCAGTGTTGGGTATGGAATTTGAATCTGATGAGGCTGCAAAGACATTCTACAATGAGTATGCAAGGAGATTGGGGTTTCCTTTTCGTGTTGGTAGGTCACGGCGATCCAAAGGAACCGAGGAGGTGCTGATTATGAAGAGATTTTTCTTTATTAATTTTGTAGGATTGTTCTTTGATTACTGCTATTTAAATTATATATTTTATGATTTTATGTCAGTTCAAGTACTTTTTGATGTGCACGGGCTGATTTAAAAATCTTCATTGAAAATTTAAATTTTTTTTCTTGTATGTCACGTCTATTTTAGCTTATTTTGATAAACTCGTTCTTGGCTTATAAATATGCTTATTTAACTGTTAAATACAAGTTACTTTTCTATAAGGTTGTTTGTTGATTGATTAGGTAAAAGAATAGCTAATAATCAATTTATATGTATAAAAAGTAAAAGGTCATATTAGTTTGAGAAATTTATCAGATGATAGGAGCTAAGTCAATGATTATTGATTGATTAATTAATAATTTCTTAATTCATTCTACAACTCTGATTACTTGATGAGTTATCCACTAAGCAGACCACATTTGGGGTTTTGTGCCTCATAATTTTATCATTAATTAAGATTAAATAATTAAAATGAGATCATTTAGTTAGATAACATTATGCTAAAATATTCTTAATAACTAATTATGTATAATATATCATTAGGATTTGAAACAAACCATATGTTAAGATTAACTAAATAGAGAAATTATTAGGATAATTTTTTTTTTCTTTTTTTTTTTTGTGAGCTCGGGGGATTCGAGCTATATTTTTTTTGTTCGTTAGTTATAAATGAAAGTCCAGTTTTGTTGGATGAGAGTTTTTGCTAATCTATCAATTATTCTAGTTTGCCGAGTAGTGAAGGTGATAGATACATGACAGGCCTTGATCACCACATTAATGGAGGTTGCCAGGACTGAAGGTGATGAGCTGATAGCAGACTATGTTAACTGCCTCATGTCATTGGATGCTAACTCCCGTCCAGTTGAGAATATCAACCCATCATCGCTTTCAGTCTCTGCTGCGGCCCAGATACAAACAAATATTCCTTCAGTGCTTCATGAACAGTCAGTACCAAAAGTTTTTGTTCAGGCTGGTGTGGAAGAGACAGATCTTGAACCAGTGTTGGGTATGGAATTCGAATCTGATGAGGCTGCAAAGACATTCTACAATGAGTATGCAAGGAGATTGGGGTTTCCTTTTCGTGTTGGTAGGTCACGGCGATCCAAAGGAACCGAGGAGGTGCTGATTATGAAGAGATTTGTTTGTTCAAAAGAGGGCATATACCAGAAGAAACCTTCAAGTGAGGGAACGAGGAAGCGCGAAAGGATGTCTATGAGAGAAGGTTGCAAAGCGATGATGGAGGTTATTCGTGATAATGAGAGGTGGGTAGTGTCTAAGCTTGAGAAAGCACATAATCATCATCTTGGTACTTGTACCAGGGTTGGTTACCTTCGTTCTAGAGGCTTCATTAATGCTTCAGATAAGGCAAATTTCATTGCCTCTGATACAATGATGTTGCTTCGGCAAAATGCCTTTGGTCAAGGTGGAGATGCTCAGGGTCTTCTTGATTACTTCAAGAGAATGCAAGCTGAGAATCCTGCGTTCTTTTATGCAATCCAAGTTGACAACAATAGCTGTGTTTCTAATGCTTTCTGGGCTGATGCAAAAGCTAGAACATCGTATAACTATTTTGGAGACACTGTTACATTTGATACGACTTATAAGAAGAACAAATACATGATGCCCTTTATTACCTTCTCTGGTGTGAACCACCATTTGCAGCCAGTTATCTTTGGATATGCTTTGCTCATTGATGAGAATGAATACTCTTTCATTTGGTTATTTGAAACATGGCTTGAAGCTATGGGTGGTCGGCGGCCTGTTTCATTTGTAACTGATCAGAATAGAGCCATGGCAGCAGCAACTGCCAAAGTGTTTCCAGAGACCTGTCATCGTTTTTGTAAATGGCTTATATTGAGCAGAAGTAAACAGAAGTTAGCTCATGTGTATTCAGCACATCCTACACTGAAAGCGGAGCTGGAAAAATGTGTCAATGAGTCTGAATCAATTAGATCTTTTGAAACAAATTGGGCATCAATGATTGATAAATTTGATCTAATGAAGAACACATGGCTGCAAGGTTTGTTCAACATTCGTCAGAAATGGGTTCCTGTGTATTTAAAGGACAATTTCTTTGCAGAGATGTCCCCAACTCAGAAATTAGAGACGATGAATGATTTTTATAAGAAACATTTCAATACAAAGACCTCATTGAAAGTTCTTCTAACACAGTTTGAGTTGGCTATGGCTAGCAGATATGAAGATGAAGTAGAAGCCGAGTTAGATACAATATGCACAAGCCCAATTTTGAAAACTGCATCACCCATAGAAAAGCAAGCAGCCCTCATTTACACTAGAACAGTATTTGAAAAGTTTCAGGAGGAGTTTGTAGAGTCATTTGGTTGCCATGTTTACAAAGTAAAGGATGGCGCTGTTAGTAAATTCAATGTGACTAGAGACGATGATGCTCTTGAGACATTTACAATAACTTATAATGCAGCCAAAAGTATGGCAACTTGTAGTTGTAAGCACTTTGAGTTTTCAGGGATTTTGTGCAGGCATATTATAGCTGTGTTCTTGATGGTTGATGTCCGAATTCTTCCGGAAGAGTACTTCTTGAGGCGGTGGACAAGAAGTGCAATGAGAGGATCTCTTCTGGATGAAGACTTTGATAACAACCAAGTTGCATGTCAGGCTTCTGTTTCATCAAGATTCAACGATCTTTGCCGTGATGCTATTAAATTTGCAGAAAAGGGAGCAAAATCTACAGAAATGTACAGAGTCGTAAAGGCTGCATTACAGAAGGTTTTTACTGAAATTATTGCTAGTGATAAAACTGTTAGTACAGGTGCACATAGAGATGCAATCAATATTAATGAAGAAATTCCAATAGATGATGCAATGAATGACCAATCACTACAAGATCCAGAACGGAAGGTATGATTATCAAATTAAAACCATTATCATGACCTCCATATTCATTAAATCAATTTGCAGTTTTTGTTTCTTATTCATTATTCCTTCATATGGGCATGTTATAGTTAATCTTAATCATCATCATTGTCGTCGTTATCATCATCGTCAGCCATTTTCTAATTATTTGGGTCAGCTATATGAATCATCATTCTCTTGCTGAGAGTAATACATGAGGTGTTAAACCTTATTTTTCAAAAGTATATTTGTACAGCCTTTATCCATATTGCCTTCGCTCAACTTCATTTTCTTCTTAATCATTTTACTTTAATCATATCTGCCCATCTTATCATTGCATCTTTCATCATTTATGATATATGTCCAGACTATCTATGTCTTTTTTCTGCTATATAATAGTCAGTAGATGCTTCTTCTAATATTTCTTAATATAATTATACCTTAATTTATCCTTCCTATGAATGATTTCCTTACCTCTCAACATTCATCCATACAAGATAGCTGGCCTAATCTCCTAATCTCCAAGATAAATGGAGTAGAAACAGTTATCCAAGGCTCCTTCCAAATTGATTCTCCTAACAAAGAGGTGTAATTGCCATAGATGGATTGCCCTACATAGTTCCCACTGTATGTCCAGTGGTGATGTAACCACTAATTGGGTATTATTATTTAGTATGGAAAACCTTTCCATCTATGTTTTAGGACAGGCCATTGGATGTGATCATCTATAGGGAGCTGGTGAAAATGTGAAGTTTCAGGATATTCGGGATGAAGCAATATTATGCTAATGCATTTTTTTGGAACTGAACAAGGAAGGTAAGATATGGTAAACAAGTACGGATTGTAATGTGTATAGGTATAGGAAGTTTTGGCTCGTAAGGAAAATGGAATTTGTAAGACCAATGATATAGTGGAAAAATGAACTGCAACGAAAACTAGTGGTGATTGAGGCATACGAAAAGAAAATCTTGATTAGTTTCTAAACCAGGATATCTAACTCAAATTAGGAGCTATAAGATTTCTATTTCTTGGGAATCTAGCTTGCTCCAATTTCCTTGCCAACCTGTGACTTCAACTTCATTTACCTCATTACTTTGTTGTTTTTTGCGACTGAAGCTGCCTCTATTACTCGCACTTCTGTTACATGCTTCTTTACTTCATGCTATATTGTTCCCAATATTGATCGCCTCGGTTTCTTGTTACCCGTGCTTTTCTCTAGTTCCGCCATTCTTGCCACTTGCCACCTCTGATACTCGTTATTCTAGTTCTGTTTGTTACATGCTAATATCATTGATGTCGCCTCTATTTAGAACAACTTCTGTTATGGCTCTATTCACTTGCTTGTTTTAGCGTGTCTTGGAGTAAATCAGGATTTTGACTTTGAAAATTGAATTTTAAGCTGGAATTCAACAAGGATAAATTAAGTACTTTCAATTTTAGGTGAGATTTTTATGAATTTTAAAAGGTTTCTTATTTTGGATTCATTTTTGGTTATAAAGAGGACTCTTAAGACATAAAATTAAGGAACATTATATATTGGAATAAAATTTTTATATAGCCTTGTTCTTGTTTTAATTTATTTAGCCATTGGTTTGTAAACAAATTTCCCGACTAATGATAGTTATATTGATATACTCAGAATTAATGGGACTACGCTTGTTTTTCACGAACGATGAATTGTTGATCAGTGAAATAACAAGAGTTGGAAATTATTATTCATAGATGTCATCAAGGCACGTGCTTGAAAATTTATAATGATAAGGATTTAAATTTATGTGATAGCTTATACCAAGTTCCTACACAAATATAAATATGAAAAATATCACCGACAAATAAGATATTTTTTATATAGAAAATCCATAACGTAGGAAAGTATGAAGTTTAACTCAATTGAAATTGTTTTATTTTCTTGAGTTTGAAATCACAAATACTCTGGCCTCCCAACAATTGGTGAAAACGAGATTATAATGTAAACACTCATAGCGTAGTGTTTTGTCTCCTGTGGGTTTGACGAGCGTAAGAAGTTGTCAATAAAGGATGGCATGCATCAATCTATGGTATTGGTAGAGGGACATCTGATGGCTAATGTTGAAAGATGGGTGATGGACCTCTAACATTCTATGTTGATGAAAGTTGGTTACAATCAGTGGCTGATGTTAAAGGATGGGCAAATTCAAGCAATGGTGGTTTACTAGCAGTAGCTAATGCTTGGTATGAATAATAGAAACTTGCTTTTCCCTGGCAATGGAGAGAAAGACGCATGTTTAGAGTTTAGAAAAAAGTGAAAAATCATGTTGAAAATGCTTTATGAAGAGCCAAAATAAGGAAAATAACACAAAAATGCGGACAGAATTAATAGTAGTTGGGTCTATAGACCTACGTCCAATGTCATGGCGAGTAAGAATAAATATCCACTAATATTTGCAGAATAACTGAGAGGTTTTATAATATTCATGGAGGGTTCTTGGCAGTGTCAAGAGAAGTCGAGAACAGAAGACACATACTGGAGGAAAATGTGAATGCTACATTCGCGAAAAGAAATAAATTCTTTATATGAAAAGTAAAAATGACAGCTCTCATGTCTTCGCGGAATTACTCGTGGAGAGTGGATGAGATGGTTTTGGTGGATAGATCTGCTTCTTTAAATAATTTCGCGACGCTTATGTTCCTTAGCAGCTCTTCCATTTTGATAAGAGGAAAACATTAGGAAATTTAAAATTCCCTAGTTGCAGTTCAGAAATAAGGTAGCCATGGCGATGGATTTGTAACCATCAGTAACACCATTGGTAACTTTTGTTAATTGTGCAACATAATCACAACGATTTTCTTCAACTTATTTAACATAGAAAATGGATTGAGAAGTTTTGAGTTATTTGGAGACATAAAATTGAGAGAGAAAGGGATAGAAAACTCGAAGGAGTAGATGCATATCCTAATGGTCTTTATCCTTTTTCAACAATCATATTTTCAATAGGTGTTTATTTTTATTACATTTCCTTTATAACATTCTCATTTCCGTCCTGCCACATTTAGTCAATATAATTAACTCAATTTATATCTGCTAATTATATGCCTCTTGCGATGGACGGCAATCATCTTTTAAAAACAATGCGTAATACATTACTAGCTAATAACCTCCTAAACAAACAATAAACATATTGTCACGCTTTTATTGAGCTTCTTTCTTGCACAAAAAAATAGAATGTTCTCGAACATAATTAGTAAGCAAACCTTTTGCGGTCTTGTTTAATTAATTTTGCGGTTTGCTACTTAGATTGAAGCTTGTTCTATTAGCCCAAGGAGTATTTTTTAGGGGCATTAATTTGGCTCCACAATTTAATATTGCCTTAGCTTGTGCATGGTCTTCAATGGGACAAACCCAGCTCGACAACATTTTTGACTGATTGTAACCTCCACCATTGTTTGAGCAAGCCTGAGTATACCTGGCTTCCATTATTCTTAATGGTAAAGTAGTGGCTTTTCATGTATTAGATCTGTATCTTAAATCTTAGTGTTTTGTTGAGGATGATCATTTTAGCAAAATTTATTGCTTTTATAATGAGCAAAAATACTGTAAAAAATGTGAGCTGGTAAAATATAAAAGTTGCTAATGGTATAAATTGCTGAAAAATTCCTATATATGCTATCTTTGTTTTCCATTTTATTATAGCAAGATTAGATGTGATGAATGAACTAAATTCTCTACTTTTTTGTGAAGGAAAGAGATGCAGAATATCTAAAGAACTAAGCAAGTGATAATGAATGTCTAGCAGTCTTAAAAGCCTTATGAAAAATAAATGAAAAAAAAAAGTAAAAATAGATATAGAGACAAAAAGTTTCAGAGTATGAGTCATAATCCTAACATTGCAAGCTATTCTATTCAATCATATAATAATTTGTATTTTTGGAATGTCTACAGGTTACTAATTTTCTGGGACAGCTACTTGGCTCTTCATGGTCTCCAATGTGAAAGCTACATTTCTTATTGCAGACAAACCTATTTCTCTTGGAACTTACTTGGTTATTTCATTTAAGACCTTGGAGATCACAACAGCAGAAACACCCAACAGAGAAGCTCTCAGGCTCTCTGTATTTGGCTTGGGAATTTATGAAGAGCAGCTGTAAAGGCAAATTTATATGACTGGTTTGAGAAAATCTATATTGCTGCTCCGTTCTTCTTTCTGTATCGCAAGATATATGATTAATGGAGTGTAGTCTCTGTTAAGTATTAGCAATTAGGTTCTGTTTTAGCAGCATTATGCCTTGTTGGAATCAGATTTCAAAAGTATTTTTATCTTAGAGGTTGCTGTACAGGCATTAACCGAACCTGCCAAGTTATTTCTTTGTAAAAAAGGGAGGAGTTATGAGTTGATTAAATTTTGAAATAATTTGTAATTTTGTTGGTTTAAGGGATGTTTGGTTTGAAGTAAAATGGGTGTAAGTATTCTAAATGTAGGGGATTTGAGAATATCAGTGTTTGATTTGAAGTAAAATAAATACAGAGTAAAATATTGGTGCATTTGAATTTCACCATTTAAATGATTGTGTATTTGGAATTCCTCGTATTTGATAGATGTTTAAATGCATTATAAATTCATCATCATTGTTGTTGCCCACCACCGGTCTCCACTCCCGTTGATTGCCCCAGCTATCGTTGCCAACAGTTGCCAGCCATCCCTGTCGCTGCCACTAGCCACCCACCTCTGCCAGGAACCCATGGTCATTGACCTCCCACCATTTCGGCCACGCATCTGCCACACACCACTGTCGTCCACCTCTTGCTACTATCATCTCTTGTTGTCGTCCTCCACCACCTTCAACATTGACCCATCGCATACGATCATAATCACCAACCACCACTGTAGATCACTGACGACCACCCTCTTTAGAATTTGCAATGCATTCTATTTCAAGCTAAAAAAAAAATCTCATGCATTTCTTTTACACACATTAAAAAAATTTTAAGATATTTCTTTTACATTACATTTATTTTACATTATATTCTTTTTGAGCCAAACCAAACTATCCCTTAATCAACATATATTGAGATAAAAATCAAAATGGTTTATTGTTTCTGTATAAATGATCAAAATGATTGGTGATTATTTAAAAGTTTTATTTTAATTCATAGATCTTAATGATATCATAATGACTAATTAGATTGCTATTTAAAGAGTTGAGGAACTAAATTGATATTTTTTTTGTAATCGAGAATTATTTTGATTTCTTAAAACTAATTGGGGGATCAATTCAGTATTTTGATTATGTTACATATTTTTTCTGGAGTCATTATAATCCCAAATCGCATATCTTCTTTGTCATAGCATTGATATTGTAGTATTTTATATGCACGATTTTTTTCATATTTTTTAGTCACTGATGAAAATTCTTAAGAAATTGATACATGCCGGTACAAGTGAGAATTTTGGGAATGATAGGTGTCTGTTTTGCAAATTGATTTTATCAATATTTTTTAAATAAAATGATTTATTTTATGAATAATTTTCTATAATTTTTAAAGTCCAAAAAGAATTTATATAAATTTTATATTAAAAAATTAATTAAATTAATTATATAATATTAAATTATTTTTAAATCCTAAATATCTAAAACCACTCAACTGAATTCATTAAAACGTGTTATAGATTTTTCATTATTTTCATATCACATGCTAGAGAGATGGTTTAAGGGTTTTTAGAGAAAAAAGATAAGAAAGAAAGAAAAAATCTAGATTTGGAGGCCGTAGTACGATTTTTATCTGTCGAGCCTGTTGGGATATTTACTCATCTCGTTGTAAGAAACTTTTAGCCCATTTTTTATTTTAAAGTTTTATATTTTTGATATTTTTCTGATCAAATTTGTGTTTTCATTACTGAAAAATATGAATAATTTTAAATTGAAAAAACTTTCATCCCGTAACTTTTTGTATGTTATAGAGATCAAGATTATGAATATTTTGAGTATTTATTTGAGATTTTTTTATTGGGTGATTTTAAATATACAACAATTTTTTACTACCCAAAAAATTATTTTAACTTCTAAAAATAGTATTGTAGTATAATAAAAGTCTTAAAATATTAATTTACACAATCCCTGGTAATTTAATAATTTTCTAAAATTGTGAACTTTGCCTAATAGGATTTTTCTTGTCTACTATTATAGTATTTTGATATTTTCTGAATTAAGCTCAATTATATTTTATTTATTGCAATGGATTGAAAATGAATGCAAATATATGATTAAAATTACTGTTATAATATTGTAATTCTACTCTGTGTGTAAAAGACAAGTAAATATTGTTGGTTAACCCATTGGTTGGAGACTAATGATCTATATAGGATGGTGGGCCGACATGTTTTTTTTTAATACTATAATTTGATGTTATCCTCTACTGATTCACGTGATACTGATTGTGAGTTATAAGGAGATGCTTGCATGTATTATGATGAAATTAATCATCATATTTAATAAAAATATTTTTAAAATTTTAATAAACAAAAATATATATTTAAAATTTTAATTAAAACAAAAATAAAATATTTTTATGAACCGGCCGGTTCTTTCCAACCCGGACCGGTTCAACGGTTCACTGGTTGAATCGCCGGTTTAGTTCGGTTTGCTCTGGTTCTATGCAGAGCTGGTTCTGAAGCTGGATCGGTTCGGCCACCAGACCGGTTCACGGTTGAACTGGTTGAACTGGCCGGTCCGGTCCGGTTTTTGAAACATTGATTTTAACACTTTCTGAATTAAGCTTATTTATACTTTATTTGCTGCAATATATTGAAAATAAATGTGTATATGTGATTGAGATTATTGTTGTAGTACTATGATAATAATATATGTTGAAAAGATAATTGAACATTGGATGAACTGTTGGTTAGAGACTAATTGACATGTACGTACAGGATGAGGGCCAATGAGCTTTACTTTTAAATATTATGATTTGGTGTTATCCTCTATTGATTCATGTGATATACTAATTGAGAGTTATATGGAAATGATTACCATGCCAACGAACAAAGAGTAATGACTCTATTTACTGAGTCAACAGTTTACTACACATATATGATAATAAAAAATATCGTGATAGCCAAAATTATTGTTTAGTGTGACTACTAAAATGAATATTTTTGAGGCATTATTCATATTATTGTATGAATTTATTATTAACACTGTTACTAATGTAATAATACAAAAAATCATGATATATTTATTGAACATGTAATATACATGATATATTGAGCATATAATTAAGATATTGATTATTAACACTGTTTATAATTTTTGATGTGATGCTTTATCTGAATTATGTATTGATTAGTATTACGGATATAATAATTGCTTTATAGATTTGTCACTCATACTAGTTTACTATTTTAATAGCTTTTGTACCATAGTATTTGATTGTATAGATTCTACTCTACTGCATATGAATTTTATTATTTTTGCACTGATTCAATAATCATATGAATACTACTGCTATGATTTTATCCCTAGCATGTATATTGCTCTTTTACCCTTGCTTTGAGTTCAATTATAGATTTTAATGACCTACTGAACTTTTTGGCTCATTATATGTGGTTAAATGATTTTATGTTAGGGCAAAGGATTAGGTGTAAGGTTGGTTAGAATTCTTTAGGTTATGTTCCTTTTTATTTTAGTTATTCTTTTGCACTAAGGATAGAGTAGGTATGACATGATTGTATAGATCTAGAGTAGTGTATATGATTTTTTAGAATTAAATATTTATGTATATATTTATATTTTGATTGATAGTTTTATTTTTTGTTGTTATTGATATTGATAAAAGAAATTAGTAGGTTTGGCTGTTGTTTATTAAAATAGAAGAATAATTCTTTCAAATTAGATTATAGGGCATCACATGAAGTCTCCGTTGGGCTGTGAAGAGAAAGAAGGGATTGACATTTCAGCCGTGTAAGGAGCAGGAGGGAATAACATCTCTACTTGGTTGGGAAGAAAAGGAAGGGAATGAAATCTCCATTATATGAGGAGAAAAGGAGGGAATGACATCTCTATCGGGTCGGAAGGTGAAAGGAAGGATATTTTTCGGGGCTAGAAGAGTTGTTAAGAGTCATTGTCCACCTAGCTAAGTGCTAAAGAGCGTGAGTTAGTGCAATACCCAAAGTGGATGACCATTGAAAAATGGATATTGGTTTATTTTAATTGAACCACTATAAACTATGATTTGCATTTTCTTTATCTTCTTACATTTACTTTCTTGCAATCTTGTTTACATTGTTTATCTCGGGAAAAGATTGTGGTTCATAAATATCTAGTTTTACTCTTGTATGAATATTAGAAAATAATTATTTTCTAATAAGTTGAAAAAAAAAATTGTTTTTGCTTTAGCTTTTTTTATTTGAAAACTTTATTTTGTTAAAATTTTTGCATATTGCTCTGATTTCAAGTAAAAGATTTTTAAAAGATCAATTCACCATCTCTTTTAGTGTGTCATAAACGCCTTCAAGTGAATGTAATTTTAGCGACCACTAGATGCTAGTGGTTGATTGAAATTGATGCCTCCCATCTTTTGAAACTAGTCAACCATTGATTTATAAAATCCTTGATCTTCAACCATTGGCTCATAGCATCCATATTCTTAGTTGCTTGATCACCTCTTATATTTGGAGTAATCAAGCTAACCACTCATTAACACCTAAAATCTAACCTTGCTCATTGAGCATCATTGATGTTTACCATTGAGTGAGGCAAGTCTTCCTAGTCACTTGACCTCCTATCTTATCAAGCAAATAAAGAAAGTCCATCACCATCTGTTGCCATACAAGTATCATTGTTTACTATTTCCTCACACCATCTAATAACCAATATACAACTATTGTCAACCATTTTTTAACCCCGTGATCCAATAGTGTTGATGAACTTAATTTTTTTTTTTTTTTTTTTTGTATGTTAAACTTATGATTGGATGTACTAATATTTTATCAAATAGTTACATGATTAAAATATTTCAAAGTTGGAGTCAGTGAATTTGATTAAACCAAGCGTGGATTAATCCTATAATCACAAGAAAAAGAGAAGATATATTTTAATACTCAAAAGCTTAAGTGAAGATAAAAGTGTATTTAGTTTTTATAAAATATAATTTTAATGTAATTTTAATTTTCTTTTTTTAATAAATGTAATATGATCTTGTTATATGACTCATTATAACCCATTATAACCCTGCATGCAAATTTATTTGAGTAGCAAGCCATTTGAACCCTTACAATCAAATTATTATTTGTTCAATTGTATAATATAAATTAGATTGTATGTTATAAAATAGAATGTACAGAATGATAGGTTTTGAGCTATTCATGGTGATCATTGGAGAGCCATTTGGTTGAAACCCATTGTCAAAGGGTATAATGTTGGCAATATTTTGATGAATGCATAACATGATCTTTACATGTTCTTCTTCTATTGGAATTTTTAATTATTTATGGGATAAATATTAAGACTTGTGAAGGAGAATAAGGCTTATAAAGGGACCCCATTTTAGATTTGAGAAATAAGAA